TTGACCCTTGACCTGCTTTCACGTTTCTGAGCCCTGGCGAGATACCTTTTCACAATGCTTTACTTTTACAAGGCCCGTGCTGCATTACTTTGGCAAGGCCTGAGGCCTATAGCGGGTAAAGGCCCTTTTACTAGTAGGAGCTAGAGTAGCACTGGAGAGAGAGAGATTGGGTGGAGGCCAGGGAGACTCACCTGCAGCGCCATAGCTCCAGCTTCGTCTTCGAGGTACCTGCAGCACAGCGCCATCTTCACAGGTTAGTACCTGGCACATGGGAGAGAGAGAGTTCTTCTTCTTCCTCTTCTCATTCCACCATCTCCCACTCACCCTCTCGCTACCTGACTTCACTGCATCTGCAGACTACGAGAGAGCGGGATTGGCGACATCTGGATCCAGACTCGACATTGGACTTCAGACATTTTGACGAGGGATTATTTGGGACTTGTAACGAAGACTTGGTGTTGACGACATTCCCACCTCTCCCCCTCTTCTTCGTCTGTTCCCCTCCTCTTCGTCTGTGCATGATCTGGACCGGGTGCATTCTTCCTGTGTGTAGCGCCAGGCCCCTTCACACCTTGTGATGAGGATGATGTATGTTTGGTCTGCGTTGCGACATTGATTGGGCTAGTCATTGATATTCTAGCATTCTGCTGCGCTGTCTTGCACTACGTGATAGAGGTCAGTTCCGGTCAGGTCAGGACTAATATCTAAGTCTTCCACTGCGCTCTAAAGCACCATTTTTGTATCTATCAGGATGTACACTGCTTGTTGAGATTTCACTTGCACTGCATTGTCCATTCAGTCCTTTTCATCACATTGCGGATCCTCGGTTGTTTATGTACATCGCCCAACTGGGCATGTAACACCCAACCTGGAAGTTGGAACACCAATCCCCTTTCTTCCAGAAACCCTTGGCACACCCCCATTTTCGCGATTTCTTCGGCCCATCCAGCCCATCCACATCATTATCCCCACTCCCAAAGCAAAGCAGCGTTGGGCGTGAGGTTTGTCCGTCACAGCGCATCGCCCTGTGGGCCTGTGCTAACATCAACCACTCTCTGCGCAGCCCCATTAGGAGAGAAGAGCAGAGCACCAGGTCAACGCTAGCCTCTAGCGTAAAATTGCTGCGTTACACGTCTGTGACACCTAAACTCGCGCCCTGTGCGACTTCCTGATCAGAGTGGGAGTAAGCTCGGAAATGCGAACGAGGGGGTGTGCCAAGGATTTTAGGGGAGGGGGTTGGAGTCCCAGGTCGGAGCTGAAATTTCTGGTGTCAAGGTTCCAGGGATGGGACTAACAGGAATCTGCCCACCAACCAATCAAGACTTAGTCAGGAGGGCAATTAAGCAATTTCGTTTAGTGGAGGGGCAGTGACGAAATCAGTCTCAAGCGGCGTCAGTTCGAGCATGTCATTGTCTGCGCTTTCTACACTTAAACAATTTGGTCGCGCAAAGTTTCCACATGTCGCCTACGGAGCTCACAGAATTCAGAGTCCGACGAGGAGCCTCTCAGTCAAGTGGCCCGAGCCTTGTACTCCGCCTCTATGTATTACCCAAGGCCGCAGCCGCGGAGTTGATCCCGGCCACGGCCGAGATCTTGTACTCCGCCTCTATGTATTACCCGCGGCCGCGGGACTTTGGGGATTTTTCTCCGCTGACAAAATGGGAGGAAAAACAAAAAGGGGGTGGAGGGGTGTAGGGCTTCTCGAACCCTACAACCCCTTTTTTAAAACCGCTTATTTTTTGGTATGTAAAAAAATAAAGAATAAAATAACAAAGACTGCAAAAAAGAAAAAAAGAAAAAAAAAAAGATTTTTTTTTTTTTTTTGGTTGTGTCTGTGTGTGTGTGCATGTGCGGAGGGGGGGGGGGCTCTCCCCCTCCCCCACCAATCAATCAATCAATCAATCAATTAAAAAAATAAAAAGTGAAAAGAAAAAAGAGCGTGAGTGTGTGTAATTTGATGCAATAAAGCACGCAAACGATGGCTCCAACGCGTTAAAAGAACGTGAACCATACCACACTTGAAATTTTGCTCAGGGGAGTAGTCACAGACATAGGCAAATTGCATCTTAATGTAAGAGTAAATGCATTTGTTTGTCACTATTATTTCCAGTATCAGCATGGAGCCTATGTTTCTCTACCCACAAATACTTTTCATCAGATCCCTCGTAACAAGGCTTAAGGTCGATAGAGATTAAGATTTGACTAATAGCTAGATGAGAAGTATAACAGACGAAAGAAACACACGTATAGAACCATACATCGATCATCCATCCCTCATATTATTTCAAACAACCAAATCCCTCGGCTAATTATACCGATTCGAAGTTGACGCACAAACAGGAGCATTCACCGATCATTCTATACTACTATCAAAAGCCTCCCCGAATCCACACAGCACACACATGCTAGCATTATTCCACATTTCATATGCCCCCCGATCGTTACTCAATTTCTTGAAAAAACACTTGTCTCAGTATCGCCTCGTCAGCATGCCAGATAGCACTGCCTCAAATCACGACTCCATACACAGCTAAGTGAAAATCATGCTGAAGGATCACCCACTCGTAATACCCAAGGCCAATGATACAGCTCGCCTCAAGCTCACTCCAATGTCGCCACTATCCTATCAGTTCTTTCGATTACATTTCCTGCATCTTTCTCCTTGCCCGACGGCCATCAACACTTGCAGCATCTCGCCCAGAAAGCAGATCACCATTTATTCCTCACCGACCCACTCATCTCGACTGACCGCCTAGACTGCATGTCCTCATCCGCACCACACTCCCACTGGGTCCGCCATTTTCATCATCCTTCCATGATCCCCTGTTGGATACCAATCCGAAACCTCAATCTTGCCGAGCACGCTACTATAGTCGCTTAGTGACCCAGACCCCTTCATCGATCGCACATCAATACCTACTACCCCAATACAGCACATGGATTGAAAATACTACTTTATACACGCGAACAGCAAAAAATCACACCGTCCGATCCATCACTCATAAAAACCAATGCTCATGAGAGAGAGTTTTCCACGACCCCATCAATCCTACGTCTAAGCTTTTATGGTATGATCACAACCACCCCTCAAAGCAGCATGACCAGAGCGCAGACCGTCATTTGACCCTCGCATACATCATCGTCCACAGATCCCTGCCTCCAATGTATTCTCGTCGGGACTACCACCTGTTCACCCATCATCACCACTCCACGACTCTTCGTTCAATAGCGCAACGACCCCTCAGTCTTGCCGATCTTGCTCTTAAGGCCGCTTAATGATCCAAGTTCTTCAATAGTCGCACTTCACCATTTCCTATCCCATACCCACGCCCAATCAAAATAGACAGGCAAACAGAAAAAAACATTGCACGCTACACCATCCCATCATGCGAATCAAGCGGAGCTCATACACCCATGCTCAAAGACCAGATCCACGACGATCCCGATCACAAGCACAATCACAGTCACACAGTTTGTTGAGCCATACAATATAATAACGAGTATTTAAAAATATGAAATAACTCAGAGTAGAGATCTATAGTACATAAATTTTATCCCAAAGCTCATTTACTCATGACTACATAATTACCACATTTAGGGTACGTAGTCACTAGTCCCTTAACACCAGTAGATAGACTGGAGGAATGCGGCATTTCCCTTAAACGTTTTTTCGCAAATTTGCCACCTAATTAGCTCATCAGAGGATAAAAAAGCAGCACTATCTTTTATGCATGATGCATGGGATGAGCATGTTCCCTGGGATACTATATAACTTAGAAGAGGATAGGGAGGGTAATATAAGGAAGGAAGAAGGGAGGGGGTGGTGGGGTGGGTAAAAATATCATCACCTCAGAAGCCGGTTCAACTCCGTTTTCCTCGGCAAAATGGGCCTCAAGCATCTCTTCAAACGACAAAGGGTTCTCCATCACGACACACTGGTATTGCACGAGATGACCACTTTTGGCGGAATAATGCTGAAGGCAAAGGATAAATCAATCGTGACTTCCCCTCTGAAGTCAGGGAGGAACCTACACGGACTGACGACAAAAGATATGGAGAGCTTGGTAGTAGCCGAGAAGAATGCCGACGGCAGTTTCCTCATTGCTCGCGACACAGTAAAGAGGTTCGAAGCAAAGGGCGCGCGGATGAACCTCGCGGAGCGTAGTGCAAAACACGGCGCCCTCGAGTATCATCACGCGGCCCGAAAACTGCGGTCGTAGAGGATGAGAATAGGGGATGACGCCTCCTATATATCCCAGCTGGACTCCCATTTTTTCGGGCGGCAGGTGTTTTCGTTCGGACCATTCCATATAGTGCGCGGCGACAAGGAACTTTCTGTTATTCTTTATGATTACAATCATTGGCGCCAGGTTCATTGCAAACACAATCTTGAATAGTGCGTCGGTTCGAATCAGCGTGCTACCAGGGTTTTGGATCCGTTCAAGGCCTGAATCAGCGGTTTCCACTCTGTTTTTGAGATTTTTAGGGGCATATTGAATCCAGTACCTCTAGAAATAGGGATAGCCACTCGGCCGCCCTTTTCTTTTTTAATATGTTTGGCCTAATGTTTATTAGCATTCTCAGGGGTTCTACCCCTTTTTTTTTAATATTTAGACTAGAGGGGCTGCTCATCATAATGTTGAATCGTGTCCATCCCCCATGTATGAATGAGTGTGTGTGTGTGTGTGTGTGTGTGTGTGTGTGTGTGTGTGTGTGTGTGTGTGTGTGTGTGTGCACAGGGGGGGGGGTGACCCCTCTCCCACCATCAATCAATCAATCAATCAATCAATCAATCAATCAATCAATCCCAATCAATCAATCAATCAGTCAATCAATCAACCAAATCCCAATCAATCAATCAATCAATCAATCAAGATATATATCATGGCTACGCCGGACCCGGACCCGGACATTTCCGGACATGGAACCGGACCCGTGTCCGGTAGTATTCTTTCGTCTTAGTATTCCTGATTCATGGCTCAGGGGCCATGCTATGCTACGAACGGCTTGAATCTTGATTCATGGCTGTTACGTTCATTTTTGGACGAATCTAGCCAGATCTATAATTTGCATTCAGTCGCATATAATGCAAATTTCAGCGCCGCGAGAGAGAGAGAGAGCGAGAGAGAGAGAGAGAGAAAAATAGAGAGAGAGAGAGAGGAAAAAAAAATTCACCCCCCCCCCCCCCCCCCCCCCCCCCCCCCACACACACGCGGAGAGAGAGAGAGAAACTGACCTCCCAAGTAGCTCAATAGTGCCATTACTCCTCGCGCCGTTGCTGTTCCCCTTCTTCCGCGACGTCACTCCTCCCCCTCGCCCTCACTCCTAGCTTGCAGCATGCTGAGAATGCTGTACCCCCGCCACAGTGCCACCTCGTCACCCCCCTCCGTCCTCCTCCCAGCAGTGTGGCAGCTGCCACTTGCGCCGTCCTCCTTCTGTGATGGCGCAAAAATTCAACCCAGAACGAATTCGGAATTCGGAGCGAACTCTGCTGCCTGATGCGGGCAGGTACACTCAACATAAAGCGAATTCTCCCGAATGTCCAGCCGCCAGTGGTACATCGCGGCATTGTGCCTCCGTTCACTACTCCCGAAATGTGCAAAATGAGAATGAATCGTTAGATAGAACATGGAAAGATACACCGACACTTCTGGTCTTTTGTGCATGTGGGAGTAGTGAAGGGAGGCCCAATGCCGCAATGTGCCACTGGCGGCAGGCTTGCCAACGTTGTGTTTTTGTGGGAGGACTGTAGCTTCTTCATTTCGACTCCAACGTGCGGGATTTTTTTTTCTATGTTCACACACTTTTTTTTTGGGGAGGGCCCGGAGGGAAGGGGTGGGGGGAGGGGGGGTGTATATCTCCTGGGTACTGCTGGGTCACTGGGTCAGGTGACCCAGGCAAAATATTCACCCACCTGCCACCCACCCAGACGAGCTTACTTAGACCCACCCTCATCCCACCCAGGCCAGCTTTTGTACACCCACACCTGACCCGGCGCCTTGTGGGTTGTGTGGGTGCAGTGCGGGTCTGGGTACCCGTTGCTCATCTCTGGGGAGAGAGAGAGAGAGAGAGAGAGAGAGAGAGAGAGAGAGAGAGAGAGAGAGAGAGAGAGTTTACAGGCAGAGGTTACATCGGGCTATAAAGCCCAGGATCCGATTCAACATTTTTATGGCATACATTGATTGGACATTTCGGCAGGGAGACAATTTTTGCCAATTTTTTGGACTTCGCTATCGCGACCTCGGTCTTCTCCCTCCTCTCCATCTTCATCTCGCCTCTCCCCCATCTCCTCATCCGTGGTATCTCCCCATGTGCATGCTTAAGGAGGGACATTTCCTCTATGTATGCGGTCCCTCCTCTCCCTCTCACATGTGTGGTATATGATGTGGTGTCGCGTCAGTATCTGACAGGTCACATTGTGCTATCTTCGTATGTATCTGGATGTGCATTGCTTGTTGATGCTTTGCTGGCGCTGCATTGTCCATTCGAGTCCTTTTCATCACTTTGGGGATCCTTGGCTCCATATACATCTCTCGATCGAGCATGTGTCAGACTGACACAGGCTGTTAAACCACTAGTACCTCCGAGCCTGTTTTTGCCGACCCTGAATTTTAGGCCGTTCCGAGTTTTGCCGAGCCTGAATTTCACCGCGCTCCGAGTTTTGCCGAGCCTGAATTTCAGTGCGCTCAGAGTTTTGCCGAGCCTGAATTTCACTGCGCTCCGAGTTTCACCGAGACTGGGTCCCACTCCATTTTCTTTATGGTACTCTACTACTCTCACAGGAAGAACCGAAAAAAGAAGAAGAAGAAGAAGAAAAGTTGCGGCCGTGAAACTCACAAAACAAGAAAACAAGAAAAGTTTATCTCAGCCCCGTGACCCGGTTGTCAGATTCCAGAAACACAAAACAAGAAAAAAAGAACAGAAACATGGATTCGGCTGTGAAAATGGCTGGATACATTCCTCCAAGTGCCAGTGTGATCAGGACTACAATCCATTGAGGAAACACAGCTAGAGCAGATCACGGAATCATAACAAACAAACGAGAAAGAAAAAAAAAAGAAAACAACAAGTTTCAGAATGTGACCATCTTTGCCATAAGATGCATTCTGTAGAGGAAGACTGAGCATGGCCTCCTACTCTACCCTGCTCGGCATCCTTGCAGTACAGAAAGCTTTTTTTTTTTTTCCCTTTTCCTTTCAGGCGCAGGCAAAAGAAAACTAAGATTTATGGGACTTGCCGACCCTGGGTCCCACCCCCGAATTCTTCGGGTACAGGCTAAAACTTGTAATTCCCCAACACTGGCAGAGGTACTAGTGGTTAAAAAAAAAAGGGACAAAAAAAAAAAAGGTCCAATCAAAATCCTAAATGCGCATCAAGAGACACAGGTGTGAGGCACAAGGCCTCGATAAGCCCTACTGGGCCCCTATTTGCAACAGCGTCGGCCGCCCTAAGTGAAGGCAGGCCCGACAGACCCTAAGAGGCCTATTTTGGACTACTTCACAACTGGGGAAAATTCAGGCAGTTGTGCAGCGCCAGTTGGTTGGAAGCGCCCAGGCCCTGGCCTCCTTTATCAAATGCATCTGAGTCATGCCCTGGGCGAGATTCGCAGCATAGGCCCAACTCAGGCTGTGGGCAGTTGGGCACAGGTAACTGTCGGTGGCCCTGGGCCAATTCGTTTGGTCTGAGGCTCAGCCTCCCTCGGCCTACGGGAAGCTTCTGGGCAGAGGCCCAGCACAGCCAGGCTGCACGCACGCAGGCTGGCCATTTCCATGTAGGAAAGGGCCATGGCCAGCCCACGCTGGTGGCATTCGGGCACTGGCTGCTTTGTGCACAAGTGCTGCTGCGCTATCGCCTGCCAGGCTCACGTGCTCACGGGCGAGCTGGAAGGAGCAGGCAGCCATAGCCGAGCTGCGCTGCTGTATGCTGAATGGGGCGCATGGTGGTCCTTGGGTGCAAGTGGCATCTGTGAGTTGGGGAACGAGGTTGTGTGAGTGATACGAGAGACATACCTGGTGCTTGAGGCGACGGCATTGTCCGAGATCTGCTCGTACTTCGGTGAAGCTGTTGACGTCATCCGGCAGCATTGTAGAGTAGGCTAGATAGGATCTGCCATCTGTAGTCTGGACGCCGAGCGCCAGATAGGATATCAACATTGGTTCTTTGTTGATGATGATGAGACTATTCCAGCATTGTCAATTATGAGCTCTTG